GCTGCGGCGGCAGCAGCGCGCTGCAAGGCGGCCGAGGCGGCGGCCGACGAGCCAGCGCTGTGCCTGCAGTGCGATATGAACGACTGCTACAGCCGCCTGCGGAGGCTGGTGCCCACCATCCCGCCCAACAAGAAAGTCAGCAAAGTGGAGATCCTGCAGCACGTTATCGACTACATCCTGGACCTGCAGCTGGCGCTGGAGACGCACCCGGCTCTGCTGAGGCAGCCGCCGCCGCCCGCGCCGCCGCACCACCCGGCCGGGACCTGTCCTGCGGGGCCGCCGCGGACCCCGCTCACTGCGCTCAACACCGACCCGGTGAGAAGCCGCCCCAGCCCGGGCGGCCGCAGCGGGGGTCATGGAGGGCGGGGACGGGGTGGTCAGACGCGGGCGCTCCCATCCTCCGGGCCGAGGCTGCCAAGAATGACAGCACCCCCTCCCTGCTCCTCCGGGCGCCCCGCGCAGCCGGCGGCTGGCTGGACGCAGAGAGCGCGGGTCGGGGGTGAACGCTTGGGGCCAGACCGGGGGTGTGTGCATCCTGGGCTGTCAAACCCCGCCGGGGCCCGGGAGGACCCCCAGGGCAGCCGGCTGGGTTGGGGGCCTCGGCGCGCCAACCTGGCTACGGGAAGGCATCCAGGACCCTGAGGAGCGCGACGTGGGCGCTGGCTAACCTTTCCCTTGGTGTTCCGTTGCTGTTCCAGGCCGGCTCCGTGAACAAGCAGGGCGACAGCATTCTGTGCCGCTAAGCCACGCTGTCCAGGTGAGCGCGCTTTCGCTTCTCCAGGGTTCGGTCGCCAGAGACATCCGTCCCCGGGGGCTTCTGGTGCCGGCACCGCAGTGTTTTCTTTTGTGTTTTTTTTTTTTTTCCTTTTTCTTTCTTTCCTTTTTTTTTTTTTTTTTTGCCACCCCAGGATTCCCGAAGGCAGACTCTCAAGGAACGGGGCGCGCTCCCCTCCCTCCCACCCACTTAGCAAGTGAACCGCACTTCGCTTTAGCAACTCTGGGTTCCTTTTAAATGGAGAGGGATCCCCCTCCAATCCCCGTAATACCCCAGTCTTCCTCTTCCCCCTTCCCCCAGTGATCGGCGGGCTCTTGCTGCGCCCCTACACCGCCTAGGGAAGGTACCCTCCTGGGCGTGGACACAGCCCGATGCCCCCGGCGCAGCCCGACACCCACAAAGAGGGGCGCGCGGGCTGGGCCCTGAGTGGGTCCCCTCTCCAGGTTTCCGGGGGCCGCGCAGCTGACTGCTCCACGCCTGGCCGGGACGCGGGCTGCGGGTGTTGTCTGACCTGGTGGTTTGTTTTGGGTTGTTGATCAAGCATGTCTTGAGTTTGGTCGGTGGCGCCAGTTAGTCTGCAGTGGGAAGGTTCACACACCCCCTCTATTCATTCCTCTTCCACAGGTGTGCAGCCGCCTGAGCCCGAGCCAGGAGCACTAGAGAGGGAGGGGGAAGAGCAGAAGTTAGAGAAAGAGCCACCGGAGGAAAGGAAAAAAACATCAGCAAACCCCAGAAACATTTCGTTCGTCATTCCAAGAGAGAGGGAGAGGAAAGAAAAAAATGAAACTTTCATCCTTTTTTCTTTTTTGCACGTTCATAGACATTCTACATACATATTCTCTTTGTCTCTTCATTTATAACCGCTGTGAATTGTACATTTCTGTGTTGTTTGGAGGTGCAGTTAAACTTTTAAGCTTAAGTGTGACAGGATTGATAAAATAGAAAATCAAGAGTAAATCCCGACTTTAGATGCCTACTTTGTGACCAAGGAGCTCAAGTTTTGTTTCGAAGCTTTACTAATATACCAGAGCATTGTAGATATTTTTTTTTACATCTATTGTTTAAAATAGATGATTATAACGGAGCAGGGAACTTTCTTTTCCCTGCAAGAATGTTACATATTGTATAGATAAACTGAGTGACATTTCATACCATGTATATATAGAGATGTTCTATAAGTGTGAGAAAGTATATGCTTTAATAGACTACTGTAATTATAAGATATTTTTAATTAAATATTTTTTGTAAATATTATGTGTGTGTTTTTTTAATCTAAGGGAATATTTCTTTTGGAAAATTATTTTCAGCTCAATTGCAGAGCTCAGCATATCTTGAATGTCTTTTCTGTTTGGCCTCGTTTTTAATTTGTTTCTGTTTTTCCCAGTGTTGCGTAGACTCGGAAGTAACAGTTATAGCTAGTGGTCCTGCATGACTGCATGAGATGTTTAATCACAAAATAAACTTGTTCTGAGTCCACCAAAATGTGTTTTCTTTAACCTAGATTGAAATCTTTGTATTTGAAGCATACATGTCGAAAATATACGTTATCAGTTTTTAAGTACAGAGTTTGATAGTGTAATATATAAAAGGTGTTTTTTTCCTTTTTAACTCAAGTCAAAATGAATTCTGAATGATTTAGCATATGGGATGGGAAAATGCTTGGGTCCTTAAGGAGTTTATGAAATCTACTGTTTAATTAAAGTGAAAAATATGCTTCTCATTTTTCATTTTACACAAAAGCTTCATGTCACCAAGTTTCATGTCTGTACATATTATTTAAATCATAGAAATGAAAAATGTTCTCTGCTTGCTACCAAAGGACAAACTCTTGGAAATGAAAACTTTCTGCTTTCCTTCCTCCAAATATTAATAGGCAACAGTGGAGAAAAAATAAGGCATAATGGCAAATCCTTCAAGCAGGGAGAAAAGTTGATCTTCAAGCATAACTTAAGTAGACCAAAAATTCTGATGACTGCATCTAGATTATTTTTTTATAAAAATGATTTTCACTATAGCTATGTTAGTTACCGCTAAACTACTGTCCAATTTCTTGTGATGTGTAACTTTTACATGTGAATATTAAAGTAGATTTATCTGTCTTGTACTGTGATTTCTGGTCTCGTTTCTTCCAAACCTTGTACTTACTTTTTAAGACTTGCTTTTTAAGGAAGGTAGTATTTTCTAGGCTAGATAGGACCATCAGGGCTTGTGAACATGCATTTAATGTGATCAGTACTCTACACACCAGTTAGATGGAATTTTTAGTGAGAATTAAGTAGGATTTAATTGGGTGCTTTGTAAATAGTTAGTCAACTGTGTGTGTAACATGTTCTGTTTGATTTTTAAAAGGAAAGGATTTGTTTCAGATTATACAAGAGTAAAAGTATTACAGACCCAAGGGGCTTTTTATGAGGTCAAAGTCAAATATTTATATGAATATGAAATATGGTCCCCAGTACTCAGCTGCAGTGGCAATATCTCAGCGGGAAAGAGCAAAGTTAAGGCAGGATTTCCAAACCAAAAGTTTAAAAATCCATCTTATTCCCAGCGAATTATCCCCTCCTTTTGACAATTGATTGGTTTTAGGTATTTTTATTATTTAATGTTTTTGAGGGTGAACCTTATAGAGTAAAAGGACTGGTTGTTGAGATGAGGTTTATTTTTATTTTTTATATTATTCCTTCTCCTCACACATCAAGAGGAAATAGAAACCGATGGAATTCCAATATGAAGGATTCTAAGGATGGCATTCTTTGTTATTAAAAGAGGGGACAAGTCCTCCTTTTTATTTGTCAGTTTTATTTCAGTAAGAAACAAGTCACAAGTGTGTGTGCTGTTGGCTGATGTTAGGTTTATCCCTCAGACTGGGGGGCTGACTCCTACCTAAGCCTGCAGGCACAGTTTAAATTTATCCTGGCCAACTACAAACCTCAAAATAATGGGATAAGTATTTTTGGTTTTTGAAGAGAGATGTTGCTCCTTAGCTAATTTAATATTTTGGGCATAAAAATCTAAGAAAAGGGAAAGAAGAAAAGTGTTAAAGATATTGCATTTTAGAGACTTGGTATGTTTCCCTTGGCCATTCATGCAAACATCTGAAGTCTCTAAAGAAAGAAAGTCATTGTTTAGTTTTTAAAAATTATATGGAACTGCGTAAGATTATATTCTATTCAAATGTTGGCTATGTCCTAACCAAGCAACCCGTGAAAAACATTTTGTGTCATTTATCTAGGTAGTTCTAATTAATCTGATATTTGGTTAAACAGAGAAAAATATCCTAACTTGTCTCATTTCATTGTCTATTTTACATTGTATGGGCACAACCAAAGAGTAAGAATCATTTGAAACCTTCACAGAGGAAAAAAAAAATTCCCATACTGGGATGTTGTTCCTAATGTGGTTATAAAATCCTGAACATCTCAGATATGTCATGTTAAAAGGCAGAGAAAAAGCCCTTTTCATTTCAAAGAATGAGTATACTTTGATATGATGTAAATCTTCCTCAAGTTTATTGTTAATTTTTAGAACTTTTAGAAATGTTGACCCCCCCCCATCTATTGTATTAAATGCCTTCTATAATAATAAATCTTCACTGTGCAAAGGGTTCTGAAGTTTGTGGTTTTTAATTGACTTCCACTGAGTTATGCAATTTTTCATTATCAAGAATGGGTCTCTTGATGGATCACCTCAATTATTCACAGTGTTTCTTACCATGTGATGAAAAATGTGGCTTAAAAACGGTGATATGAACAGAAAACAAATCTAGTTGGATTGCTAAGGAAAGCCTGTCTTCTCTGGTGTCCTCTGGGTTTGGAAGTAAGTATCCCCAAGAAGGCAGCAGGATGAGGTCAGGGAAATGAGACACCCCTGCCTCTGTCCCCCACACAAAGGTAAATAACATAGAAAGAAAGAAATTATTGCACAGTAGTACACAACCAAATAAAACTGGCTCAGCCTTTCTGGATGGTCCACTTTAATTATATATGTTAATCAGCCCAGATAGACCTCGGTCTCCACAGGGCCAAACAGCAAACCCTCCAGGCTTATGAGGAAGAAAAACCTGCCTTTACTGCATTGCAAGTGGAGGAAATTAATTTACCCACCTCAGAATTAATCTTAATAGGGCTGCCCTCAGTAGGTATTCTTCAGACCCAGATGATTTCTTTGAATTACAACCCATGACATTTTGCTAAACTTAATTATATTAATTAGAACCATTGCCCAAAAGGTTTAAGGGTTGTAATTTTACTTAAGGGTTCTACCTTGAGCATTGATACAATGGATACACTAAAAAGATAAATAAAACTTTCAGGAAAGGGAGCTGGTTTGTCCAAGAGAGAAGAACGGCAATTGTCTATACTTACTTGATCATGCTTTCAAATTTTCAAGGACTTATTTTAGAGTAGGTTTGCACCCAAGTGCCTCTTACATAATGAGTCACATCACATCTTGTCCTAAAAGGTTTTACCTCTTTGCTAAAACTCAAGTCTGAATCTGATTACCAAAGATTTTCTATATTCACCCAATTAAAGCAATTTGGCTGAGAAGATTCTGACGTTAGTTCTATCATTCATAAGTCTCCGCCGTAAATTCATCCATGGCCATGGAATATGAAAAGAGTACTGTAAAAATTAAAGTTAATTTGAAAAGCCCCTCTGAGTCCATAAAAGAATGAACGTATCAGTTTCCGGGGAAGTAGAAGAAAAATGGGCTACCTATATGCCACTGGCTTAAATATAACTCATGAAGAACTGAAGTTAAAATGTTTAAATAAAGACCAATATTCAATATGAATCCACAGGTATCTGAAATTTTTTTCTAGCAAGGAATCTCACACTTTAGAAAGGAATTTGCTAAGAGAGTATATAATTATTAACTCAATATGCAAATTGTTGGTAAAATAAGATGCTATTATTTGTTTTAAATTACTGTTTATCAACTCCTTATTAATTATTTATTATATATAGTACATATCTCCACTTTTCATCTGCATATTAAATTCAAAATTTTAATTTTTAATCTTCTGAAGTTTAATTTCTAAAGGAAAATATTATAGTTCTAGAATTAGTTATTCTTACAATGTGTATATTCTAGACTGTTTCTTAAATATTTACTTATTTAAATATTTTCTTAAATCCTACTTCCTTCATAGTTTTAGATATCAACTGAAAGACTGTCAATATATGTGTGCTTGTGTGTTTATCTCAAGTAGTCAACCTACAGGAAAAGATCTAGCAAAAAGAAGTTTTGCTCTAAAAAGTAAGATAGTCCATATTAACCTGCTTCTATTTTCTCTCCACTTTAACTCCCCAAATGGGAGATTTTCAGGCACCTTTCATTTTTTGGACTTTTGTAAGTCAAATGTTATGTTTAAACATAAGCAGGATAGCAAATAAAGAACAAGTAAATGAATTGTCATTTTCATCCTATCTGAAAAGGTAGTTTAACCTCATACATACCTGAAGAAGCAAAAAAAGGAGTTATATTCTTTTTTTTGAAAATATAATTCTTTACTTCTTTTAATAATATAATAGTTTGCTTTTATATCATTTTGTGCCTTTGTCCATCTCAGTTGTAATCCCTGTAGGCTTCCCATCACGAAATCACCCATGTGCCATCACCATAGTCCAGTGTACTTCCCTCCCCCGAACCCCATTTTTGATCCCATTCCCCACTCCACCCCTGCAAAATGTCTCTGGTATATAGTTGTTCATCATTATTGTTATTTTCTCCCCTGGTCCTTTATAAGGAGTTATATACCTTATGTGTTAAACCTTAGCGAACGCCAGGGAAATAGACCTAACTCACAGACCTAAATTTTACACCTTACATCAGCAATTCTTGGAAACAATTTTCGTACCTGTTGAAACTGCGTCCTGACTATAGTTAAAACAGAGCGAGCTCCATAAGGCAGAAGTTTATACAAGTTTCTTTCTTGCAGTTAAAATGTGCCTCACCAGGGCTTTGTGAGATATTTGTTAAACTGAAATAAGAATATCTCCTACGTAAGTACTGTCTTCCCAGTGTTCTCAGCTTCGCTGAGTTGCCCTTTCATGCACATTTAATTACAATGGAGCTTCAGACCAATGTAAGAAACCACCTTCTGGTTCTCACTGGCTTTGAGGTCCCATCAATTTGAAAAAAGACTTCATAGTCTCCCCTGAAACCTGCCAACCTTTCTGGTTTCCTTCTTGTCAGTTGGGGTTGCTAGACTTAGTAGCATAGACTGTGTGGCTTCAACAACATTTATTACTCACAAGACTGGAAATGGGACTTGAAGAATAAGGTAGCTAGAGGTCACTGGCCCTGCACCCTTCCATCACACCTGGCTTTTGGCTTCCTCCTTTCAGCTACATCATGAAATGCAAAAAGAAACCAGGGCTGCTCAAAGTCTTCTTCCTGACCCCTTGACTTGGACAAAAGGCTCAACTATCATTTCCTGACAGTCCTTTTTCTCCTCCACTTTTCCCTGGCTTCAAGCAAGACACTGTGCCCCGGGCATACCTAAGGTTGTGTCTCACACATCCTAGCTGGCAAGGCATGCTTGTGGAATAGTCTTGACGTATTTCATGATTTATTTCACGATTTCATGACAGCAGCCTCAGAAGGACACATGTGGAATGTGGACTGTGAAGGAGGGTGAGGCTATCTGCCCAGCCAGCCAAACCAGCTGAGTGGACTTGCCCATCTGTGGGTACGGCTAACCTAGCCATATCCAGAATGGCATGTTATTATGCTTGCCTGCCTTTGCTTGAGTGGTACCCCTGCCTTGGTCCTCTGACCCCCACTCACAGCTGTTGTTAAATGCCTCATCATCCTTCAAGACTCAGTGCTCTCTCTTGTGTAAAAATTATATGGTACCTAACCCCCTTAGCCCTCCAATACCACCCTCCCATGCTTTAGTATAATTATTTTCACATGTCTCTGTTCCCTGTAGATTCCTGACCCTCCAGGGATTCCAGACCACAAAGTACTAGAAGAACATTCCCGTAACTCTCTGTGCCAGCAAATCTAGCAAATTCTTTGTAACTCAAAATTGCTGTGGAGAGATTTTCATTATCTTTGAAAGCCTTTGGCTGCCTTAAACAGGGAAAAACAGATAAACTGTGTGCTTTTGGGAATGAGGGAGTGTGGTCAGCCTCGGGCAAAGAGAGTTGGAAGGACAGACTGAAAAGGAGAAAAAGAGAAACAGCAGTGCCTGTACATGAAGAAAGAAAGAAACATCATTGATCCACATGGGGATAAGGAGACTTCAGTGCTAGAGATGAAACTGTGAGGAAGGAGAGGTATCTGAGCTAATGTAGGTATGGTGGGTGTGGGGTCGAAGGAGCAGAACTCAGGAAAATTAAACAGGCAGTTCTCTGCATGTGAGCTGGGCCTCTGTCTGGATTGGTGAGGACACACAGATAGATCAGCACAATAAAATGGAGTGGATCCTCTTAGATCAGATATGAAAGGGAAAATGAGACAGAAGCCCAATAGGTGAAATTGTAGAATCAGGTTGAGAGTATGGTTTTCCTCTCTCTAATCCAGGGACCACAAAACTCAGTATAGATGGATGGATGGATGGATGGATGGATGGATGGATGGATGGATGGATGGATGGATGGATGCATTCTATTTCAGTTTATTCTCAAGTGATTAACTATGTGTGCATTCTAATCTACACCATATACTTGCCTCATATACTTTCCTAAGAAATGGGGACTCAAATCTATAGCAAAACATGTCTCAGGGAAGGACTAAATTGACTACTTTTTAAAAACCATGGTGGAGGTAAACTCCTTTTATAACAAGAATCATGCATTTCCATGCTCTTTGATCCAAGGACCTGTGAGTCAAGCAAAAAGACTTGCATGATACTCATAAGTTTATAACTAACTAGCTTGTCCCTAGGCAAGCAACTTTTCTAAGTTCGAACATCTGTCAACCGTATATAATAGTAATTACTTAGCACAGAAGATGCTTGAAACATCTATGAAAATTGTTTATAAGGCAACAATTAAATTTTTGCTGTATATAAAAATTACCTGCAGAAATTTAAACTTCTCACTCTCTGAATTCCAACTCCTGCCCCCCATAACACGGAGATTTCAGATTCTGATTCATCAAATCTGGGAAAGTAACTAAGAATGTGCATTTTGGATTTTACCTTTTCTCTGGTGAACAAGAAAAAGTCTCCTAGGAACCCCATTCTGTAAAACAGTATTGCAAGCCACAAATGTTATAGAGGTTAAGGTTGTTGCTATTATCCCGCATATGGTATATTTCTCCTTTTTAACACATCGTTCCATCCAATTTTCCAGGAGTTCTAATCAAGTAAAAATGGGAGGTTATCCCTGGTGGCGGAGCAGGTAGAGCACAGCACTAAGAAACTGAAGCCACTTTAGCACAAGTTAGATCCCTGCCCCGGAGGTGACCCATATGGCATGGCAGACCTCTCCTGACCTGTCCGCTGCTCACCTCAACAGTGTACTTCGTCCATTGGCCTGTTCTGCTCCACGCTGTCTCTGGTGAATCCTCTTACCACACCTGCACCTCTGGCCTGTACCCCAGTTTTGTATGCATCAATAAATAAATCTTTAAAAAAAAGTGTGGGGTGGG